CATTTGGATGACACTATTCATAAATGAGTTGGCGCAACTCATATTTAAATTCATACGTGTCACCGTGTCTGGAGAAGATGTCTTGAAGGAGTTCGCCTCAACATGAGATGCAAACTGATGTCTTTCGCGTGAGCAGAGATGCAAAAATGCAGAGTGAATTTAAACAAGCGCACTTCGATCGATATATCTCATTGCGACAATTTGATTTCTCGCACATCCTGCACAAGGAGTCTATCAAATCGATAATTTTCTTGTGACTTCTTCAGAAATAATGTGCGGACGTTCTTTACTTTCAGTGCCATCTCAATCTGGAAAGGGTCATGCATAATGTTCGTCGCGATGCTGCTCAAGATATCATTGTCATGACAATGGCATTGCTGAAGCTCTCATCGCTCATGTGTGGGAAATGTTGCCATTTGAAGATAATATGGGGAAAAATCTCCTTCTGAAGCAGCGCACATTCTCGCAAATTCAATTAAAGTTGCACAAAAGCAATTCACCCTCTGATGGTGTGCTGCTCATGATGTACTGAAATGTGGTAAAAATTTGCAAACGCTATTCATAGTCAAATAGGAGATTTTCCTTTGCAAAGTGGGAAAATGTAATTGCAGCATTTCACACACATCTGCAGTCTGAGTGGTTGGGGATAAAATATCCCCAAAATAGAGGAGAAATGAAATTACCTAGAAATTTCCTGGGCATAACATCAGGGACTCTGAGTGGTTTTACCGCTTCTGAGGTTCTTCCTTCACTTGGCTTTTTCCACAAGGCTGGAAAGCAACTTTCCCAGCTCTGGCTTCGGAACAATTAGATGGACCATTTGGTGACCATCTTTGGTTAATAGAATCATCACACTAATGCATGCAGTGGATGAAAGTTTCCTTCTCGCCAAAGCTCTGGGCGTAAACTTTACAGATATTTGAGAAAATAACACGAAAAATAAGACAGAGAAAAAGTATTAATAGAATAGAGGGGGAATTTAATAATATTCAAGAGAGTCAGACGCTATATTCGATTTTCTGTTGCTTCAGGGGGGATGATAATTCGTATACCGGCAAAGGAACAAAGCAAATTGTTCTTAATTGTTTGTCTGAGAAAATAACTCATCAACACTGTGAGCTTCTGAATAGTGAGTAAACTATAAATGCATAAATCTCGGGAATATTCAATTATCGTCCCTTTGAAGTCTCCTCAGGTCACTTTGTGAATGTCCTTTGACGCTTGACACAGCGAGAGAGAGAGAGAAGGAGAGTGTGTACGTGGGAAATATAATAAAAAGCAATATTATTTTTAATGGACACTTGACACGATAAAATCATCACCCATAGCGTGGAAATAGGTATGCGAAGATGGGATGGGCGAGAGCAACAGAAAGTTTCTACAAGTTCATAAAATTAATGGGAAAATTCTCTCTTGCAGCCCAGAGATGGTCACAAAGTGACGCCTTTCAAATTGATTTTCATGGTGAAAATGGTGTGGTGAAATGAGTTCATAAATTATTTGAAAATTGCAATGGAAATTGAGTGCTTGGCACAATTTACAAGAAATTGCGGGTAATTTTCCCATTTTTCCCACACTGCGACGCCTTTCAATGGAATTTTTCCCACTCACGCGGTGGAAATTAGCAAATTAGCAAGAGTGAAATCCTTGGCAGACTCCATGATGAAGTGTGTATTGAAGTCACGCGAAAGGACTCTTTTTCTCCCTCCTGGACGAAGAGGGGCGGATTGAAATGGGTGTTTCTGTGCAATTGCAGTGAATTACGCGGGGCAGGAAATCCAGGACAGAGTATCAAAGGTTTTACTCCTCAACATAACATGTCAACAGAGAATTTAATTACACTACGAGCGATTAATTACGCATTTGATCCAATGAACAAAGACAGTGAAATGATCCTCAATTTTCCACTCTCATGGCCAATTTTCTATGCACAGACTTGTATGTTTTTTTTGCGTAGAATAAAATACATCCCCTTGGGATACTTGGGATGCAAAGTGGGTGGAATGTGGGTGCGCAGAAACAGAGCTTTTGGGGGTGTTTAATTGAACGAAAAAATGGAATCCATAAATTTACACACGCTTCGGACATTTTATTTTATCTCTCTCCACCTCGACTTCACCTCACTTATGTATGAGTTTGGGGGGTATTTTTCACTCAAAGTGCCACCATCGGCACCATGATTGCTATAAAATTAAATTTTCACCTGTCTTTATGCACACTTCTCAATGTTCTGATGCCAGAGAAATTTTGCAGACAAATGAATGGGAGTAACCAAATATGACACCTGAATTACTCAAAACGTTGATGATTAAATGTGTGAGACAGGACGATGGCCTCTAATTGAGAAGTGTATGATAATTAGCGTCGTTATTAACCTCCAGTTCTGATGAAATTCACAACAAATTGAGCCTCAAAACTCCTCCACATTCAGCTGGTGGCGAAGAAAAGTCTCTAATTAGCACTCGAGTCTCATGTAGTTGTTTTATTTTGAAAGAATATACACACGAATGAATTGAGATAAATGACTGGCGACAACGATAAATTCACAGAGAGAGAGAGATGCTGAGTCAATAGCAAAGTGGGGTCACGCTCGATGTCAGAAGTCTCCCATTCTTCTTCTCGCCAGTCTTATTTGTTGCGTAGAAACGATCCTGGAGACGACAACAACCGCAAACCCTTTTGCCAGGTGAACTTGTGGAGTTCAACAAACGCAAGTTCAAAGAGAAAGAGAGACGGTAAAAATGGGATTTTGCCTTTTCTGCCAGACGTTCAATTTGATGATTCTGTGAAATTTCACGGTAAATTTAGCAATGATCATTTTGTTAAATTTTACAACGCCCACAACAATGCGCAGAATGGTAATTTGCTCGAATGCTTTTGCTGAATTTAAGGTCACGCGTCAGAGAGAAAGAAGAGAGCTTTATTCTTGCGGGCCTTGCGAAATTGGGCAAGATATTTCTTGATGAATTTTTCACACTATCAGCAAAAATAACTTGCGAAAAGTGCAATAAATCGCACAGTGAATTTGTTGCTATGCCGAAATTTCACAGGCACGTTTTTCCACCCTTGCATGATTTGTCCAAATAATAATGCAATAAAAGTTACATGTGCTTGAATTTGCGCCGCGCCTTTGTCAGTGATGCTGCGAATCCTTTATTACAGCGTCGGTTGTCGGCGGAAAAAAGAACTTGTATGAAGAGATGGATGAAAAAACTCCAGGTGAAAAGCTCATGAGCATATTCTTTACTCTCACCCGCCACCCACTCGTGCCCAGACAATTGGGAGAGGAGGCGGAGGAGAAAGCTCCATTGAGCATGAACATGAAAATTTTTGCCTCTTTTCCACATTGTTCATTTTTGCCCTCCATTCGTGTGCTCAATCCTCATTTCTCATATCACACGCAGAATTGGAGAACAAAAGCTCCTTCTCATTTGCGACGCGAGGCGCAAAAAGCGCCACTCTTGGCGCGGAGGAAATTCACACACAAAAAAACAAACTCGCAGTCTTTTCTATGGCCTGGGAAAGTTTTTTTTTTCCCCTCTCCAACCAGTTTTTCGCTTCCGCTCTAGGTGAACGCCATTAGCATCATCGAGAGTGAAAGTGATGAGAGTTATGGGCAATTTTAATGATGAACGGCAAATTGAACGACAAAACTTTTCCTCTCTTCACTCCATTTAGCCCACATAAAACCTCTCAAACGCCATATGAGTTGTGAGATAAGTCGATAATTGACTGAATGGGGCAGCAAAGGGCCCTCAAGTTTGCCATCAGCTGATTTTTTTCCGTGCTACTTTTTGATCACTTTTGCCATATTTCAACACCATGGATAAAGTTTCGCCGCCTGAAAGTTTTACCTCATATTTTGACATCTTTTCCATACACTTTCTGGAATCATATAGAGTTGATTATAGCCGAGAGCTTTTCACAATGCAGCATGAATAAAAGGGGCGAAAAATTGAAATAATAGAACTAGAAATTGAATTAAAAGACGTGACTTTTTTAATCCTCTTCTGTCTGATTGCAAAATTAATGGAGTTTTCAGAATCAGAAGTTGCTATCTATCTTCCCATCAACTCTGCTTATAAGTATTTAATCCCTGGACAGATACTCACCCTTCGGATGTGGGCGGAGAGGGGCGAAAGTTTTTCCTCGCCTATGAATCGGTTTATAAGAGCGAATGTGGGTGGCTCCAGTGAAATGAAAGAGCAAATATAGGTGGTGGATATAAATTTTCCTGTTTATTACACCCCTTATTTCATGCCATTTCTCTTACAAGGCGGAAATGTTTCCTTGCTTAATGGTCCTTATGAGTGTTTGGCTTTATATGCATATATTTTTATATCCACCACAGCAAAGGCGAACCTGGTGTGGAGAGAGATGGCCACATGTGAAGAGGCTTTTGTACGCAACTGCCCATGATATTTATTTTATTAATTTTTCTTCACCATCAAATAGGGATATTCATTGAATTTCTTTTTTATGAGGCGCCTTCGCCTCGTCTTCCCAACACAGCGTCTGTGTGTAGTGAAGGAGTCCCTCTTTTGTGGGCTGCGGAGTGTGACTGGAGGGCTGGTTTTTGTGTAAGGGAAAAAGCTCTCGTTTTTTTTCTCCTCGTGTGTCATCAAAGAGGAATTTTTGGGTGGTGAAATTTTATGGGGCTCAAAAGGAGAAACTCTGATTTTGTGTTGTCACATAAAGGAGAACACCCACAGACTTATCCAAGCCTTTTTTGCCCCTTCATCTCATATAACCTACCTTTGCCGGCCCAGTGCTTAATGGCAGCGGAGCTTTTTTCATCTATTTTCCACCACTTTTGCCTTTCATGGAACTTTCATAGACGATTTTTCCATCTCTCAGCACCACACTTTGGCCAGGGTGGAAAAAAACCTGTTGATGGAATTGACATGATGACTAATGAAGAAACCATGAAATTTCCTTTTTTTCCCTCCATCGCCCAGGAATTTCCATAAAGCTCTCGCTTAGCTGTGCTGAAAATGAGAAAATAGTGATGATAACTTTACTGGGCTATATTATATTAACATTTATTTCATTCTTTGTCTCATAATTTCGCAGTTTTCTCATAATGTTTTCTTCATATAATTTTTACATCTTCTTTAAAATTGAATTTCATTATCATGATTTCTTCTTCTTCTTTTTTACAAAATGAAAGAACATCTTCTTCAGCACTCTAATGCCTCGTATTTCTCCAACCATCTTAATTCACACTACAGTTTTCAGGGTAATTAAATGTATCTCTTTAAAAAATAAAGACTTTTTTAATGTCACTTTTTTAGTATCATTTCATTTTATTTCACCTATACATAAGTTGTTCTCACTTTCATTTTTTTTAGTTTTACAATTAAATCTTAAACACTATATAGATTGACAAAGAAAAATAACTTTTAACGTTTCTCCAGTTTTGCATTTTGCCATCTTAAGAGTTCTTCAACAGAGGAGGACATAAAAATTTTCTTTAACGGCAACTATAAGGGTATTGGAATGCTCAAAAGGGGCTAACAAAGAATCCTGTGAATTTTCTCATTATCTCCTATCTACAAAACTGGGTTGATTAATATTCATGCGGGGAAATATTTCTGCATAATACTCAATACTTCACTTTATATTTTAGTGTTTTTTATCATCATTTCTTCATTAATTTTTCTTTTTAAATATTTCTCTCTCATCATCTCAACTCAGCGAATTGAATGTGGATCCTCTCAACATCCTTCCACCGTCCTAAGAACTCATCTTCACACACATGTTTATATGTAATGTCGAACAGCAGTTTCTCTTGCGAAAATTTGACGAAAAGAACTTGTCTAGAGTTGTTTGTTTTTTTTTCCTTCTCCTAAAATATATTTATATTACTCAATTTTGCCCTCATATGCTTCTCAATGGCCTTCTCATCATGGTTTCTCTTTCTCTTCAATATGTACAAAAAATAATTCTCTCTCCATACACTTTTACAACATTCATGATATGTTTTGTGTATTGCCACATTAAACACGGATAAATATATCAATGGGAGGTTTTCTCTCTGCCTTTCGGAATGCTCCTTGTTTTGCTGTAATTTTACACTCCAGCCTGAGAAGGAATGCCTCAAATGTTGAGAATGTAATCGCATAAACATGTTCACAAGTATTATTTCTTGATGCATTTGATTTTTCAACACTCATTTCACAATATGAAGTTAAAGAAGCATATTGTTTTCCAATAAGGATCATTTCATATTCCTTTAGTAGTCGCTCTAAATGTTAAACTGGGCTTGTGTTTAATTGTGTACAAAATTTGGGAAATAAGGCATAATTTTGCATGTACAAAGTCTGTATATTGTAAAGTCCCTTCATTTGATCAGAAATGCGCAGGAGAATTGCCAATTCTCAATACAATTCTCAACACACTCTCTGCCACTTCTTATTTACAACCACACCAAAAAACGCTCATTGAATTTTATTTAATATTCTCGTTACTTTACTTGGTTATGCTTATTTATGCTTTGTTATGGTGTATTTTATATTATGTGTGTTGTTGGAAAATACTTTTTTTCTCAGCTACTTATAGGGAAAGTTGGGTGTCTTTTTAGCCTTCAAGTTTTTGATTGGAGCTGTCTTTTCTTCAGTGGTATTTTTCATCTTGGTCAGTGAAACAACAAGGATATTTAGTTTTATTTTTTTCTAACGAAAATCTCAGAAGGATGAATTGGGAGAGAAACCTCGACTATAAAAAATGTCCGACTTTATAAAAATATCTCTCCAAGTGAAAAAATATGTCAACTTCTTTTCTCTCTATGACTTTTCCGCACAACTCTCCGCCAGCTTCGGGGCTTGGGAGGTGTTTTTCACACAAGGAAAAATGTATGTTTATCTAACTGGTTAAGAAAGAATGAGGAGTGAAAAATTAAGGATTACAAAGCATTTGTAATATTTTTCTTTTCTCATCTGTACAAATTTCAAAGATTGTCAAGCATAGAAATCGGTAATAAATTTTACAATTTTTTCATTTTCCATTAAAATGTCCACTATTTAAAAAACTTCTTTTTTTTCAAACTCTTTGTTTATATGAATTGAGAACTCTAGAAATATATATTTCTCCTACAATAAGACTATTTTCTTTTCCTTCAAAGTGTGTTTTTTTTTTCTTCTTTAAATCAAAAACTTGAAGTTATCATCTCTATGAAATATTCTTTGTTTCCACGTCATTTTAATGTTATTCTTATAGATTTGTCAGTGTGTTCGAGATAAGGAAAAAATCATCTCGTAAGACTTTCTTTAAGTTACAGCTTTTCTATCGTTAAGAAGCTTATTAGATGTTTCTCAAATTTTCTGTTTTACATATGCTTGTTTTTTTTAGTATTAAATAACGTTAAATTTACTCTATTTACGGTATCTTTTCATACTATCTCACCTTCTCTGTAATATAATAATAGACAGCGTAGCATAGGAAGACGTCAATACCTGCATAAGACATGTTTCTTTAGCGAGAGACCACTTGTAAGGAGCTTTTCTGGGGCTCTTGTGTTCACTTGGAAAGTCTTGCACCTGCCTTGTTATTTTCATGCTCAAATTTCCGCCCTGCTCACAGACCATGTTGCCGTGAAAACCTCCGCATCAAGTGAAATTCGCCAAGGGATGTCAATTTTTTAGTGTGTGTGAACAATACAGTGTCTTTAAATTGTTACTATTTAATTTTTCATGGAATTCTCTCCATCGTTTCTCCTCATTGGCTCATAAATGTTTTCATTTCACCATGAAAACCTCTTTCTTTCCTCTCTCTCTCTCTCAGTTTTCAGCATCATTTCTATCACTATTTACAAACTGTGAGAACTTTTTTGCTTATTATAGAAATGCTTTGGAATGAGAGACGGAAAGAGTTTTTCTTCTCTATGTGGTCTCAACTATGTGTTTTCTTGTTCTTCATTTCCACCCCTTTTGTAATCGGTCAATAAGAAAATTCATTTTACCTAATAATATATATGGTGTGAGGAAAATTCTCCAGTGAATCTCATCACGAAAATGTTCCCACATTCTTCTATATAGTGTTACTTTTATACACACAACTATCAGTACGTAATTCTCATTTATTTTTCTCATTTTTTTTGTTATTTAATGTTTCTCCGCACACAAACGATCTGTTCTCTTTTTTTTTAATACTCCCAAAAAACATTTAAAGCTTGTTTCAATAGTCATTTTAGCTCATTTACAATGAATTGATCTATTACTTTTCATCTATAATTTCCTATGGGTTAACAAGGTTTTTCGTATTAATGGATTTTCATTTCGTCCAGGGAAATGGGAATTTATTTAATTTCCAGCATTCAAAGGGGAAAATGGGATGGTCGATTTGTCCAATATAATATATTTTAAATTGACATGTGAATAGTGAAATAAATATAACTTGCGGGTGAATTAAAAAGTGCACTCTCTTGTAATTTTATCACAAACACACAAAATCGATTCTGTCATTTGCTATCTGCGAATTTGATAAGATTCGCAGATGGAGTTTCGAAAATATATTAAAATCGAGGATCAGGCTAAAATTAAGTACAATGACAGCTAATGGAGCTGTCCATTAATGTAAAATTTCAGCATGTTCACTCTGTGTTCATTGGCAAAATGGGAAAAGTGACAATGTAACGTGTAAAATGGCCAACAAATTTATCTGTGAAAAATTGAGTTGTCAACAAAGGTCCCCAATGACCGATGGCCCATCGCTCAATTAATTACGCCGTGCAGTTTACAATCCCGTCGAGTTGGGCAGCACAATAATTTCATCAACTTTCGCCTCACAACTCAATTAAGGCGCTGAAGAGGATGGGTTTGCGTTAGATTTTTTTTTCCATGAGTCCTCCATCAGCGGAAAAATCACATTAGCGACAAGGGGTTGGGCACTGAGTGGCGCTGATAGAGTGTGGGTGGTCTCCAGGGGGTATAAATTGAAATTGCCTGAGGGCCATTGAAAAAACATTTACCTAAAAAGTGGGCGAATGTTTAACTTTCTCATTAAAGGATATTTTTCATCCCCCAGGTTACACCCGGAGAAAGCAGAGTACAGAGCATTTATGGTATTTGTCGAGTGTTTTTAATGCCTCAATGTGGAGTTTATTGGTTCAACCGCACCATCCCCATTTTCTCCCCTATCCCCGGAATGAGGGGTGGAGAAAGTAATTTCCCAAATTAAATATGCTCAGAGTGTAGGAAATAATTTTCCAGTGCGACACTCAAAGAGATGTCTTTTGGCCAGGAAATGGATGCAAACCCTTTCTCGTCATTTCACTAATGTAACATTTACTCTTCGCTCTATTGATTTTAGACTCCTCTCCAGTTATCCTTCATTTTCCCCACTCGTGATGACTAAATAAATCCCTCAATTGTACACTTTCAATTCCCTCTCATTCAAAGCTTTGCAAACTGTCTCATGCACGATATTTGTTCATATTGAGAAAGCTCTCTTTCTCACCCAGATAACATCTGAAATCGTCATTCAGGCGTCATCTTCGCTTGGAACATAAAGATTATCCATTTTTTTTCTCTAAATTTCATTTTGGCGAAAATTTTCATCACTTTTACATTATATATTCAATCATAACAACATTTCACTAATGTCCGTCGCACTCTAGAAATATACACACGCGACATTTGTTAATTTAATAATTGTTTTTTTTCTTTTTCCTTCTTCTTCTTTTAAAACACAAGAAAAAGTCCGCATAAAATGAGAAAAGCAATAACATAAACGCTTCTTATACATGTAAAATCGGTACAAAATTCCCTTAAACGCTTAATTTACAATTAATTTATATCCACACTTTTCTTCTCTCCTAAAATATATGTCTCACATTTTGTCTCATCATCATAATATACGCCTAATTTTGTCCATCCATTCTACGCATAAATATCCTCTCTTCTCGTCTCTTTTTAGAATTCAAGCGAAAACAAGGAGATTTACAGGATTAATTAAAATCTATATCGCGTGAGTGGATCTCTGACGGTTTCACGCAGAAAAATAACAATTATACACCAAATTTTGTCCTAACAGCGGCTCCTTTTGTCGCTCATGGGCGCGAATCTGACGCGGAAGAATGCAAAATGCGCAATTTGCCAGGGTGGGAAAATTCCTGGGACGCTCTAGAGAGGAAGTCAGAGGAGCACTTTTTTCGAAGACAACGCAAAATAATTATAGGGTAGCTTTTTGTGTGTGTGTGGCAAAATGAAGGCTGTTGATTTTATAGTCGTTGGCATTTCTGTTGAATTATGACAAAAGCAATTGGTACTCCAACAACAAGGGTGTTAATTGTGAAAAGCGCTGCACTATTAGTCGACATGTTTCCAAGTGGTGCCGGCTGAGGAACGGGAGACGTTACTTCGGGCTGCTCAATGTCAACTGTCCCACGAGAGAAGAGTGTGTCTTGAGATAATTGAGCTGAAGGGAGGAATTGTGTGTCTGTTACTCACTCTTGAGTGAAAAAGTCTTGTAGTCGGCAAACTGCTCGCCTGGACCGACGTGAGCGGGAATTGTGGCCAGGCAGGTGATCTCGAGGCGTCCATTGCTGCCGGCGTGCAACTGCGACACCTCCACGCTCAACTGACTGGCGGCGAAGATGGGCCTGTGGGGATTCCTCACGGTTACGCCCTCCCCAAACGACCGCCGGTACTTTCGGCCATTTCTGTGGCGATGGCAGAAAAGTCAAACACCAGAATTACAACCAATTCGCATCGATAAGGTGAACAAATATTCATTAATTCACGTAGGCAAGTCAGGATGCAAAGGTGTTTTATTAGTATTGACAACAAGAAAATCGTGTAAGGAATTCTCATGACAATTTATCGACTCTAAAATTCTCATCTTCCACCCAGGATTCGAAGGCTTGTCGAAAGCTAAGTGTGATAGACTGAAAGTTATCTTGTTGAAGCAGAAGAAAGAAGAGAAATTCGATAAGTTGCTCAGTGAAGTAGGGTGAAGAAGCACTGAGAGAAAAATGCTTGGAAAAATGCCAATTTATCAGACAGAAATTCACAAGATCATCAATTTTATATCAAAATTATTGGTATTGAGAATTTCGATCATTTCTAACATTCTAACTATCTGTTTTCGATTATTTTACGCTTGTTCAGAAAGTGCTTCAATTCTCCAATATTGCTGGCTGGGTTTGATTTCCTGGTAGAGTTCATGTCGATACTATTTCGAAAATTGGGTCATGTTTGGAAATCTTTGGGATGGAACTGGAATTCAGGCAATTTCTATTTGTTATTCATCAAGTTTCTCGACAAATTCGATTTCCCTTTTACTTGAGATCAATAGGAATGTGCCACCAGAGTTCAGAATGCGTCCACAAAGTGATGTAAACGTTAACTTAATTTTCTCTCAGTGCGATGATGATAACAAGAAAACATGCCAGAGCTTCATATATATATATTGGATACTCACCGATGCTTTCTCGCGTCGTGGTATTTATTGTCGTAGAAATCTGAGTGGATGTCCTTGGCGGGGACGGCCTCGAAGCTGCCGCCGAAGCCGAAGGAGCGACTCGATGCGTGGAACGTGTCGAAAGATTGCGGCCGCGGAATGTGCGACGACGCCTCGTGGCGATCTGGGAGAGGACGCAAGAGATAATATGGGTGAAGAGGAGCAGCTTTTGCCGAAATGGTTCGATGCTTTTATTAATTCTGCAAATGGCTCGACTTTTGTCCATCCCGGCCTTTTGAATGTAAAAACCATGTCCGAGTTTTCTCTCTTTTTTCCGATGACGCAGCTGGGATCAACAAATTTCATGAGCCACCCCAGGACGCCCCTTTTCACCATCTGGCGCGCCTCAGCCACACTCACCGTGTATTGATTTTACCCCATTTTATTTTATTTTTATCGCCCCACACCCTCGATGTCTCGAATAAAATGCTGGAGAGTGTCATTTAATGATAATGTCTTGCCCATGTTAATGATTATGGTTTCTCCACTTTCTTTGCCTCAACTTCCTTTTCCTCATCCCCCAAAGAAATATAAGTGGGGAAATCAAAGGTAGTGCGGCGCGCTGTGTTTCAAATCCACGACAAACCCACACGAAGGGCTTTCAGTTGAAAATAACTCGTTACTTTGCATGGAGGAAGTATTTTTAAACTTTTCTCACGACCACTTTAATTGAGAATCAATTTCACAGCGCACAGTCTATTTAGGAGATCTCCCCACCTGATAGAGGTCACAGAAAGGTGTGTCTGAAGCCACTACAAATGGCACCCTTTTGGTGCTGTGGAGCTCCACTTTTGAAAGTGATAAAAATCCTGTCATCCTTCTTCGTTGGTGGAGCTCCAAGCAGGACTGAGTTGAGACTACACAAAGAGAATAGATTTCCTTGCCCTGTAATTTTCCCACCCACCCTCTTCCAATTTCAGCAATGTCTTTAGCAACTCAGGACGAGGTTTACCTTTCGCTTGGGTCGGTGATTTGGGGAATGTGTCAGTTGCTAAGTCCACTCTGTCGTACGATGGATTGTTGGGGTGTTGCTGAACTTTTGATCGATGAGCACTTTTTCCACCGCTGCCACTCGATGCATAGGGAAAGAGCGTTCTTATGTGTTTATCGTCGACCTGTTGAATTAAATAAATTGCCAGAATTGCCATTGCTGTCCTGACCAAATGTGTGCGCGCGCGAGCGACAAGGATAAAAAAAAGGACCTTGGCAAGAGCCAATTTCGCCAGTCGTGCAAAGGTCCAAAGTTGCAACAAGTTGCCAACAGTCGGTGTGTTTGTGTGTGTGGGGAACATGTAAATTTGAAAAATGCCTCTTTCGCCCTACCTTTTTCCCATTGATAAGCCACGTGATGTGTGGTGCAGGCCTGGCTTTGGATGTTGTGCAATTGGCCACTAGATTTTCACCGATGAAAAATTGCCTCTTGCTGAATGAGATCCGAGGTGGTCCATTTTGTGGAACTAACGAAGGGTGTGTGCATTTGGGTCGGGCAAATGTTTGATATTCATTAATCAATTTGATTTAGAGACTGTAGCCACATGAGAGAGAGAAAGAGGGATTATTTGGGTTTGCCCAGATACTCACGAATTACGTGCACCTGCTCGTCCTGTGACGCTTTTGTGAATATCGGCGTGTCGGTGGACACTTCGCAGTAGTACAAGCCACCCGCATCGAAATCCACATTCTTCAAAGTCACCTGACGCTCATCCGATGACGCCCACTGCGCCCGTGCGGAAGAGGGAGAATTGGCGTTAATGAGATAAAAGGGAAGCTCTCGGGCTATGCAGCACAACTTGATAAGATAAGGGGTCCTTTATGATGATATTAGGCTAATATGCTTATGAGCACTGCTGGGTATTTTGCAAATTCATACACAGCAACATCAACTCGCGCCAATGATCACTTAAAGAGGATATCGCATATTGTGTGGATTTTTCCCTATACAGTCAATTGACTGCTAAAGTGACATTGTTTGCATTGTTTTCCCTCAAAATTCATTTAATCCATCATTCCCAGCTTCAAATTGAGCAATTCTGTGTGAGTTAATTAAATTACACATAAGACGGGCTTCATAAATAATCCAGTTCGCTATTCATGCTTTCTTGCCGGAGATGATAAAGATAGGGCTGGTGATTCGGATGGAAGACAATCGATAAATCATTGAACTTAAAATCATTCCGCTGAAGGGATTTTCCGAATTATGCTCGTCATCAATCAATACACCACCCATTCTCATCTATTCTCCGGCACACGGAAATTCATCACGTTTCACTGTCTTGTATCCCCTGAGCTCCCTATGCCAATAGATTCATCACAATCGGGCGCGTGAGGAAGGCTTTCAGTGAATTACGCGCTCTGGAGCTTTTTTTTCGCTCCTCTTCTTTTCCACTCAACTCTCAGCGCCACTATCTTGCGCATCGCAGGGTGAAACGTGTGTAGGCGGACAAAATAGCGATGTAATAAACACAAGGATTTATGGGTGGTCGTTATTTTTGCGTGTCACATGCTCAAATTGTGCCACATTTCATTAAAAGCCACCGCGCATCCCCAACATCTCTGACATCCGGTCGCAAGACATCCAAATCCTGCGAGGCGCGCGACGCAAGAGCCGTGATTTCACTCATGCGTGAATTTATGACTTCCCGACACCCTCTTGACCCGCCGCCAGACGCACACACGCGGCCCAAAAAAGGGCCCGTCTTAACTCCTTGTCTGCGCCTCACGCCCTGGATGTGCAATAAATTATCTCAAGCACATTTGGAGACAGTGATTGATTTCACGCGGGCTCATGATGAATCTGGTGGGGGTGGAAGAGCTACACTTACGTCGATAAGTGCTCCTTGAACGGTGAAGTTTCGGAAAGGTGGATTGCGTCCATTAATGTATTCGAATATTTTATTGCCACCTTTCAGCCACGTGACCTGGAAAAGGGAGAAGATATTGAAGATTTTCACTGCAATATGGCCCTCAATTACTTTGTTTTTACAAGGAAAAGCCATTTAAATTCGCCACATATTCCTATGCTTTGTGTGTTTTCGGGATTATTTTAAACCCACCCAGTAATGAAATTGTCATTAATCACTGATTTATTCAATTTGTCGAGAAAATTCTGACCACGATTTGCAATTAACATCCACATTTGGCATGCTTATCACGAAAATCTGCCACATGATGATGAATTTATGACCCATGCAAACCTGAAATCAGTTGTAATTGGCTTTAGTGCTTTAATTTGGGTCAAATTGAATATAGTTTCAAAGCATCTTTGGCAGATATTTTTCATCAAAAACATTTTTTAATCAGAAATACTTTTTGATTCTGTGTAGAAGTTTCTTTTCTTGGCTCATCTTGAAGATGGAATGTTCTTAGTGAAAGTTTCCTCCTCTCAGAAAGCCTCCAAAAATTCCATCTTGCAATTCGTGCTCGCCGAAGAGTGAAGGAAACTTTGTGATATGGCCGATGTTATAAAAGAGGTGGAATGTTTTGACATGAGAAATTATGGTAATCATAAATTTATTCATATGGCTCTAAATGTGGAGGAAACTTTCCCATGCACACACACACACACTCTGGGCTTCTTCCTGAGATATCTGGTTCTGCCGACTTCTCTGGTTGGCTTCCAGAAATATGTGAAGAATATCAAATATTTTATCAACAATACCATATATTAAGTTGTTACACGCTAAACTTTTTTCTCCACTCCAACATTTTACATATATTTTATGAGGGTTTCTGATATCGGAAACGTGTAAAGGATGTGTCTTGGCGTTGGGTGGGAGGCAAAAAAAATTGCCGTGGAAAAGCTCTCGGTGGAGCTTCTTCATTGACAATAAATTATCACACGTACACCAGGCGTCTCCACTTACCTTGTACAAAATCTCGGGTTTCACATTGTGCTCACAGTGGAGAGTGACACTGGAGCCCTTTTCCACGTATTTTCTAACTGTTAATTGAACCTCAAATTCGGATTGTCCGCCTGTGTGCGAATGCGTGGAGAGAAAGTAGAGAATTAAATTAGTATTTGCTATGACAAAACACAAATTTCATCTATAGTTCGTGCCATTTTGCTCACGCTGAATATTCGTTCTTTTTTTCCACGCAAATTTCCCATTTCCCGCACTCGACATGCATATCTATTTAATTTCCATAGTTTCCCATCTTTCTATACTTTCATACACCCCTGAATTCATGTTGACTTGTTTCAACTCATTCACTGATTCCGCAGAGAGAGAGAGAGTGAATATGAAAAGCGTTTTATTGCTTATATTCGTAACCCACGAACACTTCTTCTACACTATTCGCATGTCATGCTATACAAATTCACATGATGAGAACACTCCGTTGTGGGTGAGGACAAAAAGGCTTCAGCGCTCATCCGCAGCGTTGGGTGAGTAAATTGAAAATGTTTATTATTTTTCACTATATTCCACTATAAGTGAATTTTGGGACGAGGTGGGAGAAAAAAAAGTGTGCAATAAAGTGGAATATTGTGAGATTGAAATTGAAAAGCAATTCTCTATTTTTCCAGTTGGAAACTCAACTCTCACTATAGAATGCCTTACTGTGTGTGCAACACACATGACGCTCTCTCGTCGATCAGGATGGATTTCATGTACCATTTGTTCTAGCATTATGCTCATGACAAGCTGTACAGATAGAATTTGAACAACAAAATACTTTTAATAGCACTGAAAGCTGCAAATTTTAAGCTTATCAATGGTGAATGTAGATCAAAATCTCATGCTAAACAGCTTAAGAATTATGCTTCTCTAGAGGGAAAAACTCATCTTTTGCATGCATGAAATGTTCGTCATGCAAATTATGTATAATATATGTGCAATAAATTTAATTTTCCACTCTCGTAAGTACGCTGCAAAATTGTTTGCACAACCGGCAAAGCTTGGTTTTCATACATTTTCAAGCTTTTTTCTGTGCACAAATATTATGCTTTTTCGCAATTACCAACGTACTTACAAGTCATTAATTCTCCCTAAATTGCAATTAATGCTTGTTTCAATTTTTTTCATGGAAAAAGCCCAACACGAAGTGACACATTTTATGCTGTCTCACACTCAAATAAATACATGATCTCAAAAAAGGTTTCGGCATGCGTTTTACTGCGAATGCAATTCAATTTGCCACGATGAGTCTGAAAATGGATGAAAATCTACATATATTTTCACCCCCCCATTTTTGGTCGAATAAAACTCATGTGCGACTGTGTCTGTGATGAGAAAAAGCGAACATATAAATTTTTGATGCAATGCAAATTCCATTGAAACTCATTGTGAACAGTTTTTTGTGCACACTGTGAAAGTACAAAGATTCCAGCGAGATATTCATTGCGGTGATTTTTTACACTCACGAAGCGCATGAAGAAAATCGCCAACTTTGGCGGGATAAAGAATTAATCAAGGAACATTCAGGACTTAATGGAATTCAGCAGAAAGGGGATGATCTTCCGAGAAGCTTAATGTCATGTATTTTAATTTAATGTTTGAGAAATTGGCTGAACGTTTCTGTAATATTCCAGTGAAATGTAACTCATAAGTTATGTAGAAATTTAATTCAACTTTTCTTATGATTGAAGAATAGATTGAACACTTTTGAGTATATTGAATACCCTTTTTGCTTTTGGAGAAATAACAGATGGTGTAAAAAATTCATCTGACGTCCAGAGAAACCTAATTGTGATTTTCCATTAAATTATACAACTTAGTGTTGGAGATTTTTAACAATCTTCCTAGCCCATAATTTCTTCCACTGTAGAAACTTCAAGCAGCCTCGCGAGCTATTTCAGCAATATGGGAATTTTATGGAAATTCCCTCCATGAAATCTCCTTCACTGTCTCATCCTGTGACTCCTATTGAAATTGATTTTGCCAAAGAAGAGGGAGAGAACGAGGCAATATAAAATGCAAGTGCTGTAAAGTCTTGTGGGGTGTTTTTCGCCTCTTTCGAGATGCATTCAATTTCACTACAAGTCAGGAGCGACACTTGGTGTGGCAGAATAAACTTCTCGCCTTCGGTATCAATGGGTGAATTTATTGCCTCGCGATCAATTCTCGGGGAGCTTATAAATTTTCCAGTGCCACATCATTGGGCTATGACGGCGGACGGAGAGGATGTTGGTAAATGATGACATCACTTTTGAAGACTGAAAGGATTGTGACATGTTTATGGGCAACAATGGGGATGGGTCCGGATATCGAAAATGTGTATCGAGAACTTGTTACGTTTTCCAATCGCAGCGTCGCCCAACGGCCCAACAGGGGCACTTCGCTAAGTGAAATGGCAGCATCTGATGCTCAAAAGCCTCTCTCTCTCCCACGGCATTGTTAAATTGATCGTATATTGTCATGACAGTGGATTGAGGAAACTGTTACGGCACAAATCAAATTGACGAGAAGTCAGAATTGATATCACGCAGGAAATGAAAGCTGTCTGAAAAGTGTGATTCATACTGTGAGTGTGTGAATTCCGTAAAATTTCCCATAGGGTGAATTGGTGAGAGAGAGAGAGGCTTTTAGAGATGAAGCGGAAAAGTTTCGCCAAAGTTAATATGACGACTCTCACTCCACTCTGCAACTCTAATTTCTTTGCCACAGCATCATCCCAAAGCGTGAGTGTGTGTGTGTGTGTTTGTGTGGCGAATCACGAGAGTGGCATATCGTCAAATTAAATTCCCATCCTTTTTCCACGGAAAAACACACACCATTCCCACCCACCCATCTATACATATACACTTTTTCCACCTTACGGCAAAAGTAAACCCCTGAAGATTTGCGAGAACTTTCTCATTATGTAATTTTCTTTATGACTCTCAACGCACATTGACAAAATGTTCCTGGGAAAAGTGGAGATGAAACGATATCATTTAAATTTATTGTTTGCCACATTTCACGTTCAATTAAATTTCTCTCCTTCATCATATTTCGCTTTTTGTGAGACACGCTTTGGCGCCCTTTTTTCACAGGCAGAAAACGGAGATTTTCATCTGATTATTCGACATTTTATTAATTCACACAAATAAGAAAAGCATAACGCTAGAATTCAACGCTTTCCAGCGAATCAATAATGGAATATCAAATTTACTAAACACCTTTTGTGCAGAAGTTTCGCGTGAAAAATCTCCTATTACCCATAATTAATCGACATTCAGGCCATTTACCTTGTTAGCTTTGTTCCTGGAATTTGCATGCACCAAATCATCTAACCATCATTCATTTTTCCCCGGTGTGTTAATGCTGAATTTCCGGGTATTTTTCAGAGCGAAGCAAAACACTCCCGGAAAAATGATATTCAGGCACACAAACTCACCCCATCCAATTTCAGGGGAATATAAAATTCCTTTGCCACCCAATACAAGGTGTGAAAGTAATGAGTTTGTAATGGCAGAAAGTGGGTCGGAATTTAATTAATCCAATTTTGAATGCAGCACTGTGTCAAGATGGTGAAGCAGCGACTCCAGAAATAGCCTCAGGAGCTGCCTTATAAATAAATATGACGGCATTTGCGGCCACCGTGATTTGTGAGTCATGAATTTTTGTGCCCATTTGCCCATCGGTGACACTTTCTTGTGAACATTTTTGGGTCATGAAAAATTATGCAAATGAGCAAAGAAATGTGTCCATTTCACTCGTGTGGTCTGACTATGTCTATTACTCTTGGTGTGATCTTCGCTGTAACTGACAGTGCGAGCTTTTGGTCAAACAGAATATTTCTGCTTGGGTCATCCTTCGCACGAGAGAGACAGAGAGACAATAGAGAGAGAGGGGAAAAAGTGAGGGAGTGACTGTTGAAAATACTACCCCCCGAAATGGGCCACGAAATTGAAATTCAATATATCTAAAGTGTGTGTTTGAGGAGGTCGGCTGGCGAGGGAAAAATGAAGACACAGACACACGAAACAGATGAGAAGGTTTCCTCAATCGATGAAGAAAGTTCACCAGGCGAGAGTAATCCGGCCCGAGAGGTGGGAAAACCTTTCAAATTCACCAGCACGTCTCCCCAAAGTCCGTGTGTCGAATATAAATGTGTACAACATGCCAGGATGGCTGTGGCACATCTTTATATGGATGTATGCACCCTCCGAGAATGACTCCAGAAGGCCACACACGGCTTCGGTGAGCTTTCGCCGGATGATGGTGGCAAGGAGCGCTGCCGGAGGAAGTACATCCCTGGTCCAGGGCAGGTGTGTGAGTCCAGAGAGAGAGATATATAGTTGGGGAGATGGAAAACGATAGGCTCAGCGATAAAATTTTATGATTTTCCACGCTGTGCGAGCGCAACCCTCAGAGTGCGATATGTGTGCATATTTAGAATCATACGCAACACATTTCACCTGGCAATAGAGGGACACCCTCCCTCGGCAGGGCCTCGAAGAGTGTGTGGAGTAAACATTCTTGGGAGCTTTCACGCACCCTCAACGAGTCTCGTCCTTCCGATGGTTGTGAGATGAAAAAAAGCCACTTTCTCGCCCCATGTCTTCCACTCAAAAACACATACAACACATTTAGCGTGTGTTTTTAATGATCCTTGTTATACATCCGGCATCATCGCAGCGCCTTTCGTGGAATTTCATATAAAACTTTATCATTTCGCACCCAGTCCCCACGCCCTTCACGCAATAGCACACCGCGGGAAAGGTGTATATGTGGAAAAGAAATGTGAAGAGCTAATGGAAAAATTCTTGTATGAATTCTTCCCCATATTGTTCACCTTCAAAATTTTTTTCATGAGTAGCTTATAGGCTTACACGGGCACTGAATCACAGAGGGAGAAGAAAAGACAGAATATATTCTGAGAATGGTTGTTCAAATTTAGATTTCGGAGAAATTATAAGGTATCGATAAACTTAAACATTAATCAAGGACTGAAAATTACACTCCAAGTCATATAATTAATTCTCTTAAGCTCTAGTGAAACATTTTCAAGTGTAATTGTCTTGATAAATTGGATTTTCTCTCTTCCTAA